TAACTGGACTAGTAAATATATTTTCGATCTTCACAATAATTTTTTTTCAATTAATTGATCTTTTTAAGTAAGGTATTGGTTGAGATAAAAAAGTCAGTGTCACGAGCGGGATTCGAACTCACGACCTTCGGCTAAATACGCCGCTGCTCTACTACTTGAGCTATCGTGACTTCGATCCACTCATCTCAACCCCATATTTTGAATTTTCCGTCCTTTTTGCCATTTTTCAAATCTTTTGTATCAACCAATGCCTTACTTACAAAGATTGATTAATTAATTGAAAAGAATGTATTTGGTCAATCGGATCATGAAACCTAATGAAGTTAATAAGCAAAATGAAGATACTTCACTAAAGCTCCCCGTGGCCGTTTCATTTGTCGCCGAGAATCGAATCCTGATTACACGACATTTGGAAAATAGCAAAAAGGAGGGAAAATTCAAAAGGGTGGTCGAGATGGGAAGTTGGCGCACGAGTGGATCGAAGTCACGATAGCTCAAGTGGTAGAGCAGCGGTGTATTTAGCCGAAGGTCATGGGTTCAAATCCCGCTCGTAACAAACAACCAATACCTTACTTAAGAAGATTAATTAATTGAAAAGAATTTATTTGGTCAATCGGACCACGAAACCTAACGGCTTCACAATAAAGTTCAGCAATCAATTGAGAAAACATAAAAGGTGTTATATGGTTCTAGGACAATTTATTGACTTTGTGGTTTTTTCCGGTTTCCATTAGTCGGCATAAGGAGATGGGTTTGGTCCCTCAGACAAATTGCACAAGTCGTGTTTCTTGATCGGGTTTAAAAGATCCTTCGTACTCGGATAACAAAAGGGTTAAAAACAATGAACATTTAACCTCGCACGCGTCAGAACAGGCATCTTTATAAAACATCTGACATTTCCGGACTACAATACTAAAAGACGGTCACAATTGGCTGCCACCGGCAAGACGTGAAGTGGTTTCACCTATTTTTTCACCTGTAATTTTTAAAATACTAACAAAACACTGACTAAATTATTTTTTTCTATTTTTCCTTGATAGTTGTTTAGATCTAGTAGGGAAGGTATCAATCGAACGCCGTAAGTATACCACAAAATTCTCTGTGTCAACTTTTTTAGGTCATAGCATCCCCAGATGGAGGAAGTTTCCCCAAAATGTATTGTTATTCAGGATCCATTTTCACCGTAGCTAATCTTGTAAGAAATGGGACGTTTCATTTTATTGAGTGTCCGTTTTTTCCTCAGAACACCGGCTAGATTTTATATCTGTTGATTTTGCTTCATACTCAGGTATTTTTCCTTTCCAAATATAAAACAATCAAAAATCACAAATCAAACGTCAAAATAATTACAAATAAATATAATTAGTCGGTTGTCCTTACAAAACCCTTAACAAACAAAATCATGTTCTAATATAAGTTTGTAAAAGTATTGCAATGTCAGAGGGTTCAAAAAAACCATTGGATAAAAAACACTCTTTCTCGCAGTTCCATATATGTATAGCATAAATTGATATAGATATATTGTTACTTTCTCTTCTATATTCATGGATGTAAATGCGAATCAGCATAACTCAAATATGGGCAGTGTTCTCGTTATTGCAAAATAATAACTAAAACCCATATTTTTATAAGAAATCCTTGATACCCATAAAAATTTTGTAATTTCTTATAGTACGAATTTCCTTATTTTACATTCCATCTGTTTTCTAACAGAATGATTTAAACAAAATTTATCATTTAAGCGGGAATTTCCTTGTTTTTCTGTTTTACTCGTTTACCTTACTTCTTGGGTCCACAGCTGTTAAAAATTAGGCACGTAACTACTATCAGAAGTTTTTATTTTTTTTATTTATTTATTTATTTTTTATTTTATTTTTTTTTTTTGCAATCACGAGTCAGCCCGGTTTATAAATATTTATGGGCGTTTTAACAAAATCTCCCCCTGTGGTCCAACATTGCGAACTACGAAAGAAGAGAATATGTATTGGTTTCGAACGTAAAAACTAATTAAATTCATTAGATTTCGTGGTCCGATTGACAAAATAACATCTTTCAATTTATTAATCTTTATGTAAGGCATTGGTTGAGATAAAAGAAGTCAGTGTCACGAGCGGGATTCGAACCCACGACCTTCGGCGAAATACGTCGCTGCTCTACCACTTGAGCTATCGCGACTTCGATCCACTCGATTACCCATAATAAAAATTTAGCTTTCTGTGTAGAAGTACCATTATAATAATATACCTATTGAAGTTTCAACCTAGCCGAACCTGATTTGGTTTTTGATTTGGCCCTTTGGATATATTTGGATATAACAGTTTCCAAGTTATTAGGTAGTAGGGTGGTTCTTTTTGAAGAGGCTCTGGAGGATTAAAAGGAAAATTGCAAAGATGAATTTTATTTATATTATGTTGTAATGTTATTAATAATCGATGGGCAGATTTAATTTTAACTGGACTCGTAAATAATTTTTCGTAGGTCTGTTTGGTTAATAGGGCAATGTTTGCTACAATGGAAGCAATAAAAGCAATGATAATTTTGAAGTCTATGTACGATAAAATTGTTAAGGGGGCAATTTTTTGTCAAAGTATAAGACAAGAATATCATTCATCACGCCGCGGTCGTGGGTTCGATTCCCACCGTCGCCTCTGGCCCTTTTTTCCCGATAACCCCCAATTTGAACAACATATATAAGAATTCGTCATGGCTAATATGCAAAGATCATAAGGCAAAAAAAAATCATTCTACTTTTTTATTACAAATACAAATCAGTTGTTCGATCTTCACAATAAAATCTTTTCAATTAATTAATCTTTTTAAGTAAGGTATTGGTTGAGATAAAAAAGTCAGTGTCACGAGCGGGATTCGAACTCACGACCTTCGGCTAAATACGCCGCTGCTTTACTACTTGTGCTATCGTGACTTCGATCCACTCGGACACCAACTTCCCATCTCAACCCAACCTTTCGAATTTGGCTTGAAAAATGACAAAAAGGATGGAAAATTCGAAAGATTGGGTTGACATGGGAAGTTGGTATCCGAGTAGATCGAAGTCACGATAACTCAAGTGGTAGAGCAGCGGCGTATTTAGCCGAAAGTCGTGAGTTCGAATCCCGCTCGTGACACTGACTTTTTTATCTCAACCGATGACTTACGTAAAGTAAAATTTAATTTTGAAAACTGGGCTCAGCCGTGGTATACGTCTTGCTAATATTAATCAATTAAGATATAGCACACATCGTTTTACTTTTTATTCTTATTTAAGTAATTCATAACCATATCTTTGAAGTATTTTCCTAAAACTTTGGACAGTGAAATACAACGTATAATACATCTTCATTGTTTGTTTTAATTTTCTCTTTAAAATAAATACTTTATCAATGGCATCCGTTTATTTTATCGTGGGAGGACAACGGCCCGAGATAATGACGGAACTAGATTATTTCTCGGACAGTAAACATTTTGCAAAAAATACACGATGTGTATTTTAATTTTTAAAATCCACGGGGTCAGGTTTTAAACCGCGATCAGCATTATTTTGGGCCGGTTAATCGATAGATTTTTCGACTGGTATACATATAGTAACAAATGATTTCCATTGCGTGACAAGCTCGATCGATTTTCGGATCCAGGAGGAATTCCATCGAGGGTGACTAAGAGCGAAAGAATTTCCGAAGACCCTTTTAAAGCTCGCGTCGGAACGGAAGCTAAACAACGGTGTTTAAAATACCTGGGACACAAAGGAATCGACTGTAACTTTCGATTCAGTTTATTAAGCTTTTGTTTGTTGTGACAATAAGAAAAAGGTGTGTGTTTTTCACAAAAACAAAAGTTTAAAAGGTACATCATAAAGTAAATTTGTGCAAGTGTTCATAATCATTGACATTTTTTCTTTTACATCAAAAACAGTCACGTAGTTGTTAATTGTGCTGAATAGTTGGAAAACCGTATTTTTTAATATTTGGTCTGTTTACCAAACAAAGAACATGTGCAATAAGGTCTGATGAAAACGAATGAGGAAAAAAGTTTCTGATTTAGTATTGATTTTGTTAATCTTAAATCCAAAAAGATATTGTTTAAAATGTGTGGCGTACTGTCTAAATCTGTCAGAGTGTACTTTACAGATTTTTAAATTTTTAAAAGGGCAAAAACACGCAGCCGAATTTGAAGAATTGGGACTTGCCCACTTAGAAAGATTATTCAAATAGATTCGTTCATATCCCAAAAAAGAACGATTTGGGATGCCGATGAAGCCGGTTTTCTGTTTTTTTTTTTTTTATCGTAAACACAAGTTTAAGCTGAACTATTCGTCGATGTACTTTTTAAACCACTTTGTTTTCTAGATGCTTTTCTGATTTCAGCTGCATTTCAGACGAAAACGATTTCATTCTCGTTTATAAATTAGGTTCTTTATTATACCTTAACATAATTATAATTAAATATTTTGTTTTAGTATTAAAACAAGTGTTTTTACTTAAATAATACATAATAAATTCTATCAGGGATGATTGTTAGAAAGAAAGATCTCATGAAACTATAATTACAAATTTAAAGGGCTTACAAATAAAAATCTATTTCCAATTAAGTAATTTACGGTTTCAAGTACAATGATATTAAAAATTGAAATCATACAGCACCAGATTAATAACATAAGATACAATCTATGAATCGTTTAAATTAGTCCTGATGAAGAGGAAAGCACGACGAAGTTACTGAGTGTATTCTTTCTAATTTCGATCTTTTGTAAATATATAAAGTTGAAGGCTGATCATAAATCATATCATCAGTCCGTAAATAATTGGCATTTATCGACTTTGTTTATGATTATCCTTTGGATCAACAGGTAAATTTTGGATTAGGCTAATATTGTATATACATTCAATGGGTTCATATTAAAGATGGAAAGGATTAGTGTGAAAAAAATTAACTACATCTAAAAATCTACGACTAATTTGCTGTATAATTTAATGAGCATGCTGAATTTAAAAAAAATTACTTACTGCTTTTTGGGGTTCCTCTATGCACCGGCTCAATATAGAAGAAGTCCACAAAAGAAAACTTCACTTCAACAGGGTTAACGAGACTATTTATATACAGACGCCCCTGGAAACACGTCTTTATACAGACAAACTCGATGAACACTTACTCCTCAGGAGTGCTGAAGGTGACTGAGGTTTCTCCGGACTCTGGAACCATATCCCCGGTGTCGGCGGTTCCCCTTCCCGCAACCACGGACTCTTTTGAGAGTGGGAGACAATGCGGCCACTCCACAATAACTTCCCATTACTATGTTCCAGGAACCCGATTGTCCTAGCTGAGGTGGATTTTTTGAAGATCACTTCCTCGTGGCTTGTTAGTCTGAGGCATGGATTAGAAAGAAAAACACTTCGGAAAACCTCAGCCGTTCCAACAGTCAACTTGGTCATTGGCTTCTTTCAAATAGACATTACATATTAAGCCATAGACCAATGGATATTTTTTCCAATGCACTGGTGTTGATTGATTTTCTATAAAACACTATATGTGTTTTTGATTTGTAAAGTATTCAAAAATCTTATTGACCTATCAGTTTGACCTATTTCGTCTGAAAATATTTATAAAGATAACATCTCTAACAAAGGAACCTTTCCTTAACGCGTACAGATTAGAAATATCGAGCTCATTAGCGACCAAGCTATACATTTTTCCTTTTACTGGCAAAAATATATTTGACAATACAAAAAAATAACCCTGCAAAACGTTCGGATGTACCAAACGAAATTACTGCATTGTTCGAAGAAGTGGAAATATTTAGAGTTCCTGACTTACAGAAAGTAAACATGGGTGTATCAAATACATACTTTAAGAATGTAGTTAATGAAAGATAGCCGGGTACCATTACGTCTTCACAGATGGATCAAAAATGGTTACAGGGACTGGTTGTGCCGTGTATGATCCCATTAACAAGTACGAATGTCAGATAAAACTACCGAAAGAATGTAGCATATACTCAGCCGCATTATATGCAATTACAAATGCTCTCAGTTATTTTAGCACCTACAAAATGAGTCAAACATTTAAAATAACTGACAGTCTAAACTCACTTCTTTTTTAAGATATTAAAATCTTTTCTGACAGCCAAGCTAGTCTTAGGGCATTACAAAAAGATTTGTGAACCTCACGACTGGCGGAGGAAACTATAGATCTTATCAATAGGATCTCTTTCAGGTTTGAGAACAAGGTNAAACCTTAATTAATTGTCATGTATTAATTGGTCAAGCGGACCACGAAAGTAGTGATTTAATAATAACTGACAGTTTAAGCTCACTTCTTAAATTACAAAATGAACAATCTCATGATTTTTGAAGTTCTAACCAAAATTAGTTTTCTCAGGCAGAGCGGTAAGGATGTCAAGTTTGCATGGGTTAAGACCCACGCTGGCATCGCATATGATGAGAAAGTGGACTCGCTGGCAAAGGAAGCTACTCAAAACGAAAAAGAATGCTTGTTACAAATTCATTATTCCGAAATCAAAAATTAATTAAATATGGCTCTAATAAACGATTGGCAACTACGATACAAAAATTCAAACAAAGGATTATTTTACAAAAACATTCAACGTAAGATTGAGACATCCTGGTTCAGTAAACATAACGTAAATAAAGAGATGTATAAAATTATAGCCAGGATCAGATCAAACCATGTCTTATCTGGTCAATATATGCATAAAATAAACAGATCTGCTCCAGACGTTTGCGAGCTCTTGGACTGTGTTCAATGGAACATTTAATCATGATTTGTGCTAGGTATGAGACGGAAATAAAAAATTTATTTAGAGCGTTGTCGGGTTATATAGATAATCCCTTTAGCTACCACAATATATTAAAGTCAAGGAACTACCACATATATAGCGAGGTCGTCTCATATGTAAAATCATCAAATCTCATCGTATAAAAAAAATAATAAAACAAATATCTAATATTATCTTTTATTTAATGTTAATTTTATTCATCAATTAATAAAGGTTTTTAGTTGAGATAAAAAGTCAGTGTCTCGAGCGGGATTCGAACCCACGATCTTCGGCAAGATACGCCGCTGCTCTACCACTTGAGTTATCGTGACCTCGATCCCCTCGAACACTAACTTCCCATCTCAACGCCACCTTTGAAAAATAGCAAAAAGGAGGAAAAATTCAAACGGTGGGACCACGAAAACTAGTGAATTTAATAAGTTGAAAAGAAGTATACCTTCACTAAAGCTCACCGTGGCCATTTCATTTGTCGCCGAGAATCAAATAGATTACACGACATTTGAAAAATGGCAAAAAGGTGGGGTTGAGATGGGAAGTTAGTATCCGAGTGGATCGAAGTCACGATAGCAAGTGGTAAAGTAGCGGCTTATCTAGTCGAAGGTCGTGGGTTCGAATCCCGCTCGTGACACTGACTATTTTATCTCAACTAAAAACCTTAATTAATTGATAGATTAATTGGTCAAGCGAACCACAAAAACTAGTGGTTAATTTTATTTTTTATTTTTATGCTTTAACAATATTACATAATTAAAAAATTTAAAAAATATTTCTGTGACAATGAATACCATATATATGTATCCTGCACACTATCCCGATATATGCGGATACCGTAAAAATATTATAACACCACCAAAAAGAAGAATGGGGAAAAACGCACGAGAATATAGAACGTAAAGAGCTACAAGGGCGGAAATATTTGATCAAAAAAACTAAGTACTCAGATGCCATGAGCATCATCCCCATGGCTGAATTGAAGCCGAAGTCCATGCGGGTGAGAGATATGCTCAAGCTAACTTGAGAAAAGGTTGCAAAAGCAAAGAAACTAACATGTCAGATAGCAAGGCAAAAGCATTTAACTAAATTATCAGATCGAGAATGGGATTGCAGAACCAATTATGTAGATTAGGGCATGCAGGAGTAAAGGGACGTCCTTGCAAGAAACGGGACTGCAACACATGGATCCATACAATCTATGATCAGCTTAGAAAAGAAGACCTAATGAGAGCGAGAAATCAACGGAAATCACTCACTGGACACACACAATCCAAAAACTTCCTTGCTTGAGTTGAAACAGCAAACAGCTCCGAATCATAACAAGATTCTTGGTGGAGGATTTGGGAAAGACTATCAATCAACACTGTGCAGATTCTGCGAGTAGGAAGAAAATACACACACACACCTAAAATACTGTGGTGTCACACGTCTACTACAACGCCAACGTGGAAAAAATACAACCACTACAACCGTGCCTAAAAAATTCCTTGATAAATTGAGACTCAACGGCGAATCATACATACTAAACAGGTGATACAATAGCTCAAGTGCGCAGTATACCAACGCCCCTGAATGTACATCTACACCAATTAATCAAACCTACCTCAGAAGAAGAGCCAAACAATTATATTCGATTTTTAAGTATACAAATAATAAGAAACCAGAATGGTAGGGTGAAAAAATATTAGTAGAAGAACCTAAAACGTACAACAAGATATTAATTTTTCTATGATCACATCCATTAAAACAGAAAATAAATGTCATATACAAAGTATTAAAAGAAAAATCTGCGCTAGTTTTTATAAAAACAAAAGTTCAAAAGGTTACAAAACTAATAAGTAAATTCTTTAGGTTTTGCGGTCCGATTGACCATTTGTCGCCGAGAATCATGGCAAAACGGAGGGAAAATTCAAAAGGTGGGTTGAGATGGGAAGTTGGTGTCCGAGTGGATCGCAGTCACGATTGCTTAAGTGTTAGAGTAGCGGCGTATTTAGCCGAAGGTCGTGGGTTCGAATCACGCTGGTGACACTAACTTTTTTACCTCAACCAATACCTTCCAAGATTAACTAATAAATAAAATTAAGTTTACAAAGAAAAAATGATATCAGATTTCACAATAGTAACTTTAAAATGATAAAAATAATGATAATGACAACTTTTCAGACTCATGAAAAAACAAAAGAAGTGTAATTTATCAAGACATATCAAATATAAGAAGGGTGATGACTATACGCATGAATAATTTAAATGCAATGTTTAACAGAAAGAATAATAAAAAAATTTAAAACGTGACAAAATTGTAGATAACATTAAATGTATAATTATACAGAGTTTCCCGTGAACACGAGTCAACACTTCAGGAGGTTATTCTAAATGTCAAATGTGACTAAAAAACCTACTCTATTAGTCAAAGCATAATTCTCAATTTTATGAAAGATAAAAGAGAGATATTTGACTTTAACATTTCACAACTGATCACAAGTTCAAGTATATAATTAGTTATTTATTTATGTATTCGTTTAAATTAACTGTCTACGCAAATATAAGATTACAAATAGTTGGGTGTGCGGCTTTAATTGATTAATTGTTCATTGTATAAAGAAGTATAATATTTTNTGTGTCCAACTTGTAGGGTGCCATTCCTTGGCTCTGTATAGAGAGCGCGTAGGTATGCCATCTGATATGATAATTTTGGAGGAAAGAGGGTTGGTTTCATTGTATATTGTACTTATAAATATCTCGTTTTCTGACCATTAGTGTGGGTGGAGAGTAAATATATTTTCTTGTGTGAATGTGTAGTGTGAGAGGGCCATGGCAGAATATTGAGCAGCTCAGTCGACCCTGAGGGTGATTAAGAAATCTAATAGTCAAATTTAGTACGTTTGGTGTCTAATGTAGTAATTTGGAGGAATCTAATATTGTACTCGACCTCCCTAACTGAGTGAATGGTATATAAAAATGTTAAGAGTGAGTAAGAGTGTTAATGAGTTTGGATTTAGGAGCCGATTGAGTTGGAGGCTGAAATGACCTAGTTCTTAGTAGTCCCCGGAGCCACCTCAGCTGGACGGATAAGACAAAGGTCTGACCCCGGACGGCCATCACCCGGGGTGGGTGATTAGGAGATAATGATGAATCATCGAGGACATTGTAAATAACACAAAAGCTGGAATTGCCGGCGAGCTGAGTGCGATAAGCTCAACTATGTACATGCGTGTGCAGATTTGAGATATATATCACTAATCAGTAATAACTATAACAATTAACTGTCATTTAAAGTACAGAATTATTTTGATTGTAAAAAATATAAGTAAGGTTATTCGTTTGAAAGCAGTCTTGTAGGAATATTATGTATAATATAAAATAATTTATAAATTGGAATAAACTTTTTAATTTTA